AAAAAAATTGAGTAAAAAAAATTGTGGGAAAAAAAAACTTTTTGGACTTTATGGACTAAACCATAGTCTTTGATTTTTTGGAAAAATTTTTGAGGAAAAAAATTGGAGAAAAAAATTGTTTGGAAAAAAAATTGAGGAAACAAAATTGGGAAAAAGTTTTGAGAAAAGAATTGGACCGATATTGACCAATATTGGACCGATATTGTCCAATATTAGACCGATATTGACCAATATTCGGAAAAAAATTTTTGGTCAAAAAAATTTGAAGAAAAAAATTGTGAAAAAAAAATTGGGAAAAAGTTTTGAGAAAAGAATTAATCAAAAAAATTTTGGGAAAAAAAGTTTTGGTCAAAAAAAATTTCGTACAAAAATTTTGGTCAAAAAAATTTTGGCCAAAAAAATTTTTGGAAAAAAATTTTTGGCCCAAAAAATTTTGGTCAAAAAAATTTTTGTCAAAAAAATTTTGGTCAAAAAAATTTTGGCCCAAAAAATTTTGGTCAAAAAAATTTTTGGTCAAAAAAATTTTGGTCAAAAAATTTTTTTTATATTAGACCGATATTGACCAATATTGGACCGATATTGACCAATATTGGACCGATATTGACCAATATTAGACCGATATTGACCAATATTGGACCGATATTGACCAATATTGGACCGATATTGACCAATATTAGACCGATATTGACCAATATTAGACCGATATTGACCAATATTGGACCGATATTGACCAATATTAGACCGATATTGACCAATATTCGGAAAAAAAATTTTGGTCTAAAAAATTTTGGTCAAAAAAATTTTTGATCAAAAAAATTTTTGATCAAAAAAATTTTTGGTCAAAAAAATTTCGTTCAAAAAAATTTTGGTCAAAAAAATTTTTGGTCAAAAAAATTTTGGGAAAAAAAGTTTTGGTCAAAAAAATTTTGGGAAAAAAAGTTTTGGTCAAAAAAATTTTTGGGAAAAAAAGTTTTGGTCAAAAAAATTTTTGGTCAAAAAAATTGTTGGTCCAAAAAATTTTGGTCATAAAAATTTTGGTCCAACAAATTTTGTTAAAAAATTTTTTGTCAAAAAAATTTTGATCCAACAAATTTTGGAAAAAAATTTTTTGGTCAAAAAAATGTTGGTTCAACAAATTTTGGGAAAAAAATTTTTGGTCAAAAATTGGGGCAAAAAAATTTGGGGAAAAAAATTGTTTGGAAAAAAAATTGGGAAAAAGTTTTGAGAAGAGAATTGGGGAAAAAAATTGGGTAAAAAAAATTGTGGGAAAAAAAAACTTTTTGGACTTTATGGACTAAACCATAGTCTTTGATTTTTTGGAAAAATTTTTGAGGAAAAAAATTGTTTGGAAAAAAAATTGAGGAAACAAAATTGGGAAAAAGTTTTGAGAAAAGAATTGGGGAGAAAAATTAAGTGAAAAAAAAATTTGCATGCTTTGACAATGAAACAATGGTTGATTTGAGTGAAAAATCATGAATATAATCCATATAATCCATGTTTTTTAACAAGATAAAATTATTAGGGAAAAAAAAATGTGGAAAAAAATTTTGGAGAAAACAAATTTGGGGAAAAAAATTTTCGGGAAAAAAAATTGACAAAAATCTTTTTTGGAAAAATTTGGGGAAAATAAATTGAGAAAAAAACTTTTTTGGAAAAAAAAATTTGCAGAAAAATTTTGCGATTGTTTTTTCCAAAATCAAATCATGTTTGTTTGAAAGAAAAAGTTGGAACAAATTTTAGGAACAAAAATACTCTGAAAAAAAAAAATAGAAAAAAATTTTTTGGAAAAAAAATTCACCTAAATCAAAACATGAACGTTTTCCACTCACTCAATCTTGTCAAAAAGTCATGTTTGATCTGAGTGAAAAACCTGACAGATAATCCATGACTTTTCAATAAGATTGGAGTGAGTGAAAATTTTTTTTGACATGTTTTTGACACGTTTTGAATTGGAAAAAGATTTTTTTTAGTTTTGGAAAAAAATGTTTGAAAAAAAATTTTGACATGTTTGATACCTTTTAAATTGAGTGAAAAACCATGGACTACCATAGTTCATGATTTTTTAACATGATTGAAAGTGAAAAAATGGATGAAAAAAAAATTTGGAAAAAAAATTGAAAAAATTTGAACACATTTAAAATATTTGTCCAATATAGCATTAATGTTATTAACCAGAAAATTAATCTAGCTTGGACAGTGCCGAAAGAGATCATTTAAATTTAATGCGCACACAACATTCTTGCAATCGATAACGTGTATAGCTCGTTATTGCCCGAGATAGCACTTGTACATCGTCACAAGCCACACACGTTATTCCCGGGCAAGGGGTTAATAATTATATTCAATTTAAAAAAAAAAATTGATTTATTTTGGAAAAAAATATTGGAAAATAAAATTTTTGAATTTTTTAAAATGTTTGAGAATGTTATGATAACGGAATCTTCAACGATGCAGTTATCAAAAGATTCTTGCTTGCTTGTTTATATGTAAAATACGCCTGATAGCACAGCAAATAGATAGACATTTTCACAGTTTCACTACCAATAAACAAGCATAAAATAGTGCTGCTATGACAATGCTATTTTATGTGGCAAATATGTAAAATACACATTTCTATGAATTCATTGACACAAATGAAAGAATATTTACCTAATATATACAATAAAATACATAAATTTATTGACTTAAATTACAAAAAATAAATATTGTATAAATAACATAAAACAAAAATAAATAATATATATATTCAACAGAAGTTAAACAATTTTCATGTTTACGATTAAATATTTTAAACCACTATAATAGATTTTTGGTCTTCAAATAGAAAATTTAATTTATTTTCTAGATGTTTAATTAAGCAAGCAATATTGTTTACTCAATTAAAACATATATATATATATATATATATATATATATATATATATATATAATGAACTACACATGGAACATATTAAAATGCTTCTTACACTATTACTCTCAATAAAGAAATACTATAAAAAAAATTAGACATTGGGTTGACTTTTTTTTTTTAAAAAAAAGCATGAACATAATTTCTGGACAATCAGAATTTTCTTGGTCTCTATTGTGATAAGTTTTTCAAAATGTTCAGCAAAGTTCGAGATCGTTTTTTAATGTCTTTTAATGTTCTACACGGTAATGATTTATGAATTTGTTCGCAATCAATCTGCTGCTGTAAAGCTTCTAATATTATTTTATCCTCATTTCTTGACCACTTATTTGAGTCTTTTTGAACTAATTTAATATCACAATTTATACTAGCACCCATGTTAATTTCTTTAGAGTTATTTTGATTATCTTTATTTTCTAAAGAAGTTTTTTTTGTTTTGTGTTTTCTTTTAATAGGTATTTTAGCAATCTCACTATTTTTATGTATAGTCTCTAGATCAATATCTGCATTCATTAAACAATGTTTTTCACAAGTTCTACCACTGATATCACTGATTTCAGTACTTGAACAAACAAAACCATCCGAATTATTGACACTACTCCAAGTTGTATCTGGATTATTATCAGAACTATATAGTTCAGAAACAGCATCAGTAGAATCACAATTTTCTTGAATAATATTGTGATAAACATTTAATTCCTGACCATCATTTTCATGCGATTTTGTTTTATTTCTTCTTGGGGCGCCCTTATGATGTTTTAATGTCATTTTGCAATTGTTAGTGATTATATTTTTGACCTTTGTTACTGAACTATCATAAAGTTTTACTCTTTTTTTTGGTGTCTTCATGTTATGATTATCAACTTTCAGGGTCTCATTTTGGCTTTCTTTAGCAAAGCTTCGTTTCTTAGATGATATAATTGTTTTATCCTCAACAAGAGATTTTTTTTGTAAACATGACATTCTTACAGACTCTGGACAAATTCTATCTTGAATATACTGAAAATCCATAAAATTGTCATAAATATATAAATAAGACCTAATACTCTTTCTCAGTTTACATGTTTGCCAGAAAATTGTATGCTCTATTTAAAATTCATTGTAATATCTAACAAAAATTCATTGTATTCTTTTAAATCAAAGAAAGAAAGAAAGAAAAGAACAAAAACAAACTACAAGTGCAAGACACATACACAAATAAAACATTACAATATGATTTGATGGTGTACAAAAAAAACTAATTCTTGAATAATTGTAAATAAGCCTAATTATGCATGACCATAGACAAGTTAATAGATTATTTTTAAACAGCTATACTTGAAAATGCTTTGTCAGCGTATGAATACATCCATTTACCCTAAATAAAACTATTACCTTCATACCACAAGGAATACAATGCACATTCCTTTTCATATAGTTTTCGTCATCAGATATATGACAAGTGCATATGCACTCACTCCCACCATAAACAGCTCCATTTTTATCTCGAGTAATAGCATGACATTTATCATCAGCAGGATTCTTACTCAAATTCATATGTAGATCATCAATTATATCACTATAATGTTTAATAAACAAATATTATTTACATTGCATTTAAATTATATATATATATATATATATATATATATATATATATATATATATATATATATATATATATATATATATATATATAATTATTAGTTAGTTTTGATGTTGAGATATATGAGTAAGTTCTTATATCAATACATCAAATAAAAAAAAAACAAAGATTTATAAATTAATCTCTAATTTCAAACATTTCGATATTCGATTTAATGTCATGATCAGTGGATCTAAAAACAGTGACAAAATTGATATAACCGGGTAATTATAAAATTTGTGGATTGGTATAGAATAAATATAGGAGAAAAATTAACAGAACAGCAACACTGAACAATAAACATTTTATTATTTTACAAAAAACATATGGTTACCAGTTTTTTTAACTTTCACAAAAAAATTTGTAAACACAAATAATTAGTTTTTACATGTCAATAACTCTGTACACACTAGAATGTAACAAAAAAATTGTCAAAACTCATTAGTTTTAAATGTTCCAATTATTAATAGCTTGGTTTGTTACTGTGTAATAGTGTAGTGTATTCAGTAGCGGCGCTAGGCGTCGGCGGTGTCGGCGACCGCCGACGGCCTCGCGCCTGGGGGGGCCTCGCAGGAGGCCCCGGAAAAATTTTAATTATTTAAAACTTAGTTAATTTTCATACGGATGTGCGAGTAAAGAAGGTGATTAGTGGCATAGATAAACAAGTATAAAGAAAGAAATGTATAAAGAAACAAGTATAAAGAAAGAAAATATGAAGGAGGTGATTAGTGGCTTACAGGCACTATCATTTTACTCTCTTATCTTTTATGGACATTATCTAATATCGTCTGTCAACACTATAGATTATTAAATCTAAACAACTTCACGTGAGCTAATTCTCTGGTTGTTTATATTTGAGTATTTCTTATGTGAGCACAATGTAAATTGTAAATCATCGTTCTTTTTGGGAATACATACGAGTGGAAATCTTAACGTATCGAAACAGTAATTAAATATTCGAGGAATAAAAGTAATCAATGATCAATATAAATTGATCAATGAGAAATAACAATGAGATAATAACAAAAACTGTTAATTTGAAACTAATCATTGTTTCACACCGTCAACACAAGCAATATATTTTTTTAATCATTCTATTGGGATGATCAGTTCTTTCAAATAAAATTGATAACCTTTTAAACTTTTTTGTATCTCCAAAACCGCTGAGCCTGCCTTTGACAATTTATCAACACGAATCGAATGTTTTTTAAATCCTTTAAATCGGTTGATCCGCTCTGATGTCGTCGACAAAAAATTATAGACTCTTAAAAAAATGTCATTTTGACATTTCAGAACCAATTTTGAAAATTCAAAAACTGATCGAAAGTTTTCAGTTGGCATCGTGCTGAATAGTTTTTCGTCAAGATCGACCGCACAGTTTCTTCGCAATTTATTATAACAATCTTTTTTCAAAAAAAAACTTAGAGATAAAAATTATAGTCTCATCTAACATAAATTTTATGGAACTACGATAAATGATTAATTATAAAAAGTCAATAAATTTTAGAATAATGGGACGAGCTTTTAGACCATGTGTACCTACTATGTGATGTGCGGATTTGTGCACTCAAATTAGTGTGATTATAGATTTTTTAAATCTAATTAATCACTTGCAGATTGCAAAATTTTGTCTAATTTGTTAAAAGCCAGTGATTTCCAACCATTTTTCATTCATAATGATCGAAAAAACATAAAATTTGCTAATCAAATAACAAAAAAGAAACTTCTTCGGGATAATTATTTAATTTTAGTGCTTTTCTAATAGCTGGAAAACAAACCATTTTTGCCCAAGAGTTTGTTTATTTTAACTTGTATAATTTTTGTTTATTTCAATTGGTCTATTTATCTGATAAAAATTAAATCTCATATACAGTTATAGTAATCGCAAAAAAATCGAAAACAAAAATGTTTATATATCTTATCTTTCAAAACAAATTGGATGCACACGTCAATCCGGAAATGCAAATAGTACAAACAGCCGAAAAATTAAAACGCCTGAAAAGAAAATGGCCCAGCGATCTACCGTCAACAACATAATTTCCCTGTTTCGCACAGGAAAATTTTCAAACAAGTTATTTTTAATTATTATTTATTATTGATTACCGTTTTTATTATTAATACTATTATTTTAATTATTATTTATTCATTCATTTATTCTATTTCTTTTCTTTAATTTCCTTTATTCTATTTTTCTTTTCTTTTTGATTTTGATTTTCAATACCATAACTTTTAACTTATAGATTGTATTGTAATCTGATTGTTAAAATTAACAGAAAAAAAAAAAATATATATATATATATATATATATATATCTTTAAAGATTTCTGTACATTTTGGCAAATTTTCGTCGACGATTTCGCGCACATGGATTAACCAATTTGAAAAATTCAGAAAACATTTGACATGTATTGAAGTTAAGAAGACGTGCCGATTAGTTTTTGGCAAAGGCAGGATAACCCGTTTTGAAGATACGGGGCAAAAAGTGCCAAACTGATTACATTTTTAGGAAGGCAATTCTAGCGGTTTTGGAAATCCAGTAAAAAAGCACAACAAAACCCATTTGGCATATGCACATCAAATTATCAGATATTTTATAAAGATTTTAATTAATAGTGAGTTAAGTTAGACTGCAACGCGGCGTTTACGCGCTTCGATATTTCGTCTCTAAGCCGCTAACGCAACGTGATTGCTTTGAAAAAAAGTTCAAAATTTTCAACAAAATATTTCGAATTAAAAAAAGTCAATTTCTTTCACTTTTTTTAAAGCTTTTCAAAAATTTAAATTACGGCACGAAAAGTTTCAGCAATTTGCCTTTAGGCACGATACCATGCACCACTAGTCAACTTACAACTGGTAAAAAAGGGGGGCCTCGCAAACGAATTTCGCCGACGCCCACAAATGGCCTAGCGCCGCCACTGAGTGTATTTTTGTGTAATTAATTTTTTGTAAGTATTTGTATTTATGATTTTATATCATTTTCCTTCTACATTTTTTATAAAATCTTTTAGTTGTTCCACTGAATGATGGTGTCGATGAAGACCAAAACGCATGGCTAAATAAAGTTGTTACAACTACTTTAGTTGTTTTACTTGGTGTTACTGCCCGAATCAAAATAACCCATCAATATATATATATGTGTATATATATATATATATATATATATATATATATATATATATTACGATTTAGTAGTTAATTTTGATGTTGAGATATATGAGTAAGTTCTTGAGGGCGATACATCTAACAAAGAAAAGGCAAAGATTTATAAAATAATCTTTAATTCCAAACGTTTCGAAATACAATTTGATGTCATCATCAGTGGATATTGAACATGGTACTTTATATCTAAAAATGTGTACACATCACAGATTAAAGTATTTTGGCACAGAACGGAGGCTATGTAATAGCTATGAATCCCGAGGCAAGAGTAAGTGTCCTATTACAAAAATTCATGATTATTGACTGGTTGGTTGCATCAATGTTAGTGCAAAATTCTGTGATGTGTACACATTTTCAGATATAAAATACCATGTTCTAAATCCACTGATGATGACACTGATGATCAAATTGTAAGTCGAAACATTTGGAATTAAAGATTATTTTATAAATCTTTGCATTTTTCTTGTTTGATGTATCGCCCTCAAGAACTTACTCATACATATATATATATATATATAAATATATACAAAGAAAAGCGCCACTGGATTTAAGCAATCAACTCTCCTGAGAAAAAAATGGAAATAACTTAATCATTATTTATAAGAAATTATTTAATAAGTAAATATTGTAAATTTTATATCGAAAAAACAACTACTGAGTTGTTTTTTCCAACAAGTCAAAGTAGTATACAATGTACCTTTTCGGCGAACTATTGTAAATCATTAAATTTACTGAATGTCCTATACTGGACAGTTGTAAATAAAAGAGTTAATAAAAAAAAAAAAAAAAAAAAATGTATTTTGCATGAAGACTAATTGATGGAGCGCAATTCAATCAATATCATTTGTATGTAACACTTCACAGTTCAATTCTCAAAAATATCTAATTAAATGATAATAAATGAAAATAAAAAGTTGCCTGCAATTACAATGAAACATATTTGAACATCCATGCAAAAAAACTATTATACCTTTCTGCCAACATTTCGCATGGAAAAAGCTGTAAAAACCATTTTTTCAATACTGCATTTTCTTTCACTAATGGTAATACTGAAGATATTACGTCACATAGTGATACATCTGGTATATCCGATAACTCAGATAAAGCTATATAGATTTTTTTAAATTGTGTTGAATGTTCTGACAAGTAGTTCTAAAAAAAAATCAAGAAAAAAACTCTTTTTCATTATATAATAATGACAAAACAATAATGTTACTTAAACAACTCTATAAGATGCACTGCTAATTCAAAATATAAAAGAATTAGGTTGCAACATGTATTTTGCATGAATACTAGTTGCATACCTATAGATATATTCAAGTTTCAGTTCTTGTCAATCGACAAGAACTGAAACCTTTTTAAATCTTAAATAAATCTGCAAAATACATAACAAATTGGCTTGACCGAATGTTGTAAAAAGTAATTAAGATATTCTTCAAATGATATTTTTCAAACATAAATCTTATAAATCATATACCATAATATATATCAAACTGTTAATTGCTAAGAAATGGCTGATTAAATAATTATTATGCATTGTTAGTTAAGAGAAAACATATACACCATCTTCACAAAAAACTATTCAGCACAATCCTCAACTAAAATCTTTTAATAGTTGTTTTTTTATACTTCATTTAACTATTACATTACAAAGAAACATTTAACTAATAAGCGTGCAAAATTTGTCAACATTATCATTTATTGAGTAATATCAAATGGCTTGACAATTTGGGTGAAACATCAAAATAGCACTCACATACACATGCACACACACAAGTTTTCCAATTGTAGCATCAAAGCAAAAGTTAAAAAAAAATCAATATAATTTTGAAAAATACTTACAGTGGTTATTTCAACAAATTCATCCATATTGGAATTTAAACATATCTCCATAAACTTTAAAATTCTTTCTGCTTTATTGGGTAAAAGTAGCACAAGAAATTCTTTCAATAGATGTGGATAAGTAGGAAGAAATATTGTCTCCAATTTTTTATAGAATTCTGAAGGGTTATCATTAGAATTCACCGTCATCACAATTTCGTGAAATCTATTTAAATCATTAGGATTTTTAGTACATAAATGATTCTTTACATGTTCATAATAAACATTTACAGTATCTGGAAAAAACAAAAAAAATTAATTTAACAAATTACTTGCTAAAATTTTAATAATGCATATTTATGTCATACTCCATACCATATTCTGGAGACAACACATTCTCAATTAGTGGAAAATTATGAAGAATTGACCCATCTGATTTTGTTGTGGGTAGGTTGACAAATGACCGTTGTTCAGGCTTCTGGAAATATAATAAAATAGGGAATGATTCATGATTGATGTAGATTGAAAATTACAGCAATAGAAATTATATGAAATCCGTACATTTTAGCTTTCGTTTAAGCCTTCACGTTTTATTTAAAAAATAAGAAAAAATTAACAATATCTATTCAACTATAAATACTTTTCATTTATTGATATATGTTATGCGAGGCACTACTGTATATATTAACTGAATATATATATATATATATATATATATATATATATATATATATTGAAAAATTATAATCAAGCTTACATAAACAAATATTACATGCTTCAATATTTAATCCAATTCAGAAATTGCAAATAAAAAATAATATTTACACAAACCTTTTTCAAATGGCAAATCTCTGCATCAGCCAAATAATTATTAGATTTATCATGATCACCTAAAATAGTATCGGTAATCATTTCATCTGAACTCGTAAATGGAGAGCTTTTAATATCTTGTAAATTCAAGAAGTTTGATACCAATGGCAGCATTTTTGGAAAGTATATTGAAAAAAAGTAATCCAATGTGAGTATATGAACAAATGCTCTCTTGATACATTTTTTACTATGGTTCACATTATATACTAAGTATATATTATTCAGAAGACTCTTGAAGTAACTTTTAATGTAAAATTTAAGTTTACATATTACTTGAAAACTGCTACTTTTATGATTTTCACTATCACTAGATAAGTCTTTTTGCACTGGTGTGAAATAATCTGTTAACAATTTTTGTTTACTACAAATCTTTTTTGTGGATGGTTTTCCACATTCACATCGTAATGATTCAACATTAACTATCTTCAAAAATGTATTATTCGTTGCGTCATTCTTTAAAATTGGAGAAATCTGATCTCTAATATGAAAGCCCAAATTATTTTTTGCGATGTCTTCATTCTTTGATATATGATCCATGGATTGCTGAGATGATGTAAAAATTAAATTATTGATTGGAGTTGAGATGTAAGTAATCATTGGCATTGATGAGAATCCATTTTTTGTTGATTGTGGTGTGACTGGTGATGAGTTTGAGTTTGAATTCTTAGCACCAGGTGATGCAAATAGAAGCGGCATGCTATTAGATGGAGGATTCACAGATTCATCACACACTGATAATGAATTATTATTATCTATAATGTTAATAGTTTCTGATAACTTATCCGAAATAATTGTTACGTCCTCAGAAAATGACTGTCCTACTTCAACTTTATATAAATTATCTGACTCATTGAATTTGTGTGGAGTAATTTTTATAGGGTGTTGCACAAAACTAGATGAAGTTTTCTTCTTTTTTACCTGCAATATTAAGTCAAGCTCACAATATATTACAAATTATCATTATCAACAAATAACACAATATATAATTTCACACATCATCTATTCTATTCTTATATTTTATGAAAATATAAATATAATAAACATTTCTAAATATAAAAAATATAGACATTTAAAAATTATTCACAATCAATAATTGAATTAAAAACTCAAATAATCTAATTTCTCAAGAACTTGTAGTATAAAGGCATATTCTGTTAAAAAACTTACTTCTACAGGAGGTTTCAAGATATGAGTCCTCCAAATATAATGTAACTTATCAACTGGCTGTTTCCGAGGAGTTGCTATTAAATCTGGATCAAACGGAAGTAAAATATGTTCTGTAGGAGGTGGTTTATTATGGCGAAAATAATACTGAAAAATAATGGTTATATTTAATACCTGTATATTATTAGAAATTAAGTATATAAAAATGTTATATAAACTCAATCAAAAACTATATATTATATTGGGCACACATGTGGCGAATGCTTGACCACTGCAATCCCTACTATGGTGATGAGCCTTTTTGTAGGCAAGACACTAGCTCTACACTGTACATGTGTGAATACTATGCATTTTAATTACTAACAAAGTATCAGTTTATACATATACATATTACTTTAGAGTAAAGTATGCACACAGACCCTGAGTGATTCTGGGAAATAGTTTTTGCTGTCTGACATTTCCGATTTTAATGACTTAATCTTACTTAATATATTATTACAAGAAAAGAGTTTTCCACCAATTTTACACAACAGAACATATAAAGATGATGTATAAAACAAACTAGTGGGGCACATGGCATCGTGCCTTAAGGCAAATTGCTGAAACTTCCCGTACCAAAAATCATTTTTTTTTTAAAAGATTAACATTTTTAAAAAAAAATTTACTCTGAAAGAATTAGATTTTTGAGAAACTATAATCTTTTGACAAAAACTTACTTTTTTTGAAAAAAAAAACTTTGAAATTCTGAACTTTCAGAGCAATCGTACTGCTTTAACTGCATAGAGACGAAATATCAAAGCGCGTAAGCGCTGCGTCGCCGTCTAACGGATAAACACTGGTACGGAACCCATAGGAATGTAAACAAAATTTATACTTATTGTTAAAATCTCTATATAATATCTGATAATTTGATGTGCATATGTCAAATGATCATTTTTGACCGCCAAATGGCTTTTTTTCTACTTTTTTTACTAGATCTCCGAAACCGCTAGACCTACCTTCATGAAAATTTGATCAGTTCTTCATCTTGTTAATACAAGTAAAATGTATTTTGAACTATTCAAATCGGAAGCTCCGTCCTCTTAAAAACTGAGTTACCGTTTTTGGCACTTTTTGCCCCATATCTCCGGAACGGCTAGACCTGCCTTTGCCAAAAACTAATCAGCACGTCTCCTTATCAATACGAATCGAATGTTTTTTGAATTATTCAAATCGCTTCATCCGTGTTTCCGAAATCGTCGACTAAAATTTCGTATCCGAACACACACACATAACCGCACGCACACACACACACACACACGATAGTTCGCCGGATTGCCCATATTGTTTGGGCAAAATCGAAGATGCTGAGCATGTGTTCTTCATGTGCCCGCGATTTGGTGCTCTACGGGATGATGTGGAAGAGACATTGAGATGCAGAATTACCCCAGGTAATGTTGTTGAAGTGATGCTAACAAGTGATGCTGCTTGGAACGCCATAGACAGATTTGCGAGAGACGTTTTAATGGAACTGCGTTCTATAGAGAGAGAAAGGGCGAATGGGACTTCGCCCATTTAAAAGATAAGTATAATGTTTATGAATTATAACATTGTTTAGAACAAGTTAAGAATTGTAATATTCTAGATCCTCCCCCCACGAAGTAATGCCTAACGGCGGTTTCCGTGGGGACCAGAGGCAAGGGCAAAGCGGAGGTTTTAGTCGGTATTATACCAGGGCGGTATCGAGTCCGACATACCCAGACAGAAGACCGGTCTGGGATGCATAAAGGCATTTCCTTCGCTATACAAAAAAAAAACACACACACACACATACATCCGTTTTTTCTAAGGTATGCCAAAATGTTCAGAAGGTTTTGAAACGTGAAGATATATAAACATTTTCATTTTCGATTTTTTTGCTATTACTATAACTTGCCCTACGGGAAGTTAAAAAACTTATTTCTAAATATCAATATTTTGTTGTCAAATTTAAGAACGTAATAAACAATGTATGAAGAAAATCATACAGGTTAATTTTTCATTCAACATTTTGATACAAATATTCACATTAAATTTTAATTTTCAAATTGGTAATGTAATATGTTATTGCATTATAAAATAACAATATTAAGCCCAAAGGTTACTTATATGAAATCAATTCTGTTCTAAATATTATAAATTGTAATTTAAAAAGAATTGTGCAAAGGTAGCTTTCAAACCAAACAGAATTACTCAGTACAAATTGTGAGAAAGTACCTTCATTTGCCCCTCCTGTGTTCATTAAAAAAGTACAAAATAGTAGTAAGTAGAATATTAGATTTCAAATTAATAATCTGCTTTAAAAAATTAACACAATATATGATTATATGTATTGCGCTTACGAAGTCGCATTTAAAAAAAAATCTATAATGAACGTGTTGATAATAATTTTGAACAGTCATATCAAATTAGCAACATTTAATTATTTTTTCTCATTTTTCAATTCCATTTTATTTCGTTAATGTATATATATATATATATATATATACATATATACTAGCAAACCCGACGAACTCCGTTTCGCCACCAGATGGTTTTGTGAGAAAGATGAAGATGAAAGAAATTTTTTGTTTGTTTTATATTTGAAAAGGAAAAATTTAATTTTAATATACAACAGTAATGATTTTATTTCGATTACAAAAATGAAGTGTTTTTTAGTTGAACTTCTCTAAGTAAATGAAAGTGAATCCGCAAATTATCTGTTTCATTGAAGTGCTCTTTGGTAAACCACATTTTTTGTTTTTTGGTCTGACGTTAACACAAACAAAGCGGATGGTTTTCCAACTTGTGAACAGGCAACGTATAACTGCCCATGTGAAAAACAATGATTTTCTAAATAATCTATTTGAAATTTATCCCGCAAACACTAAGCGATTGGCCTTGCGACTTGTTATTGCGAACGCAAGGCAAACTAGAAATTGCAATCGTTTGAAAAGTCAAACGGAAGACCAGTCGGAATCATTGGTATGTCACCAAATCGTCAGCAATTTTTGATTGAATGGTGAAATTCAGTGCGTGTACATGAAGTGCTGCCCTGCAATTAGTACGACCCTGCCGTACCTCGTGATTGCCCTGCATGATGCGCACGCATCAAGATGGCTGCCTCCGTCCTGTATAAAAGAAACGGCCATCGAAGCAAAAGGCCTCTTCAACCATCTCGGCCAACAAAGACCAATCAATACACAAATTGTATTAAATAATAATAAATAGTATTAAACAAAATCAATCATGGTCGGATGGACCTTTAATATTTGTTGTGTATGCGTAGGTAATCTTTGTAGCCACAAGGTTCTTAAAATATTTTCATCTATATTTCATTTCATTATTTTCAATAATAGACCTCAAGAAAGCATACCAGCAGATACCTGTTTACGATAAAGATATTCCCAAGACGGCAATTACAACACCTTTTGGTTTATTTGAGTTCCCCTTTATGACATTTGGCCTACGTAATGCAGCGCAAACTTTCCAAAGATTTATGGACGAAGTAACCAGTGGATTTCCAACGTTTAGCAGATTATGGTATAGTAGTAAACCCATCTAAATGCATCCTAGACGCTAAGGAAGTTACGTTCCTAGGATACTGCATTACAGAGCATGGCACAAAACCCCCAAAAGAGAGGATAACCGCATTGTTAAATTTTCCAAAACCAAAAACTATAAAAGGATTAAGGATATTCTTAGGCATGATAAACTTTTATCGAAATTTTTGTCCGAATGCTGCCAGATATCAAGCAGATTTACAAGTTTTAATATCAAAACCTAAATCGAAAGACACAAGCCAAATTGACTGGGATGAAAAACTTACAGCAGCTTTCGAAGAAGAATCTCGCTGAAGCTACCTTACTAACGCATCCATTGCCTGATGCAGAACTTGCTTTATTTACAGACGCTTCAGACAAATCCGTGGGTGCAGTGCTACAACAATATACAAACGGTGAATGGAAACCTCTCGCTTATTTTTCGAAGAAAATTTCTGAAAAACAAAGAACGTGGCCAGCGTACTACCGCGAGCTTTTAGCAGGGTATAAAGCATTTCAATACTTCAAGGATCAAATTATTGGTCGTAATTTCATTTGGTTCATCGACTACAAACCACTTGTGTATGTTTTTCAGCAAAAACACGACCGCCTACCACCAGTTCAGCTCAATCAGATAACATATATGTCACAATTCACGACAGATGTTAGACATGTGAGCGGGACAAAGAATATTCCGGCTGATTTGTTTTCTAGAATTGAATCAATCAGTTCCCAATTGGAAATTACCGAAATAGCAAAAGCTCAAAAGGAGGATATGGAGCTAAAACAATATTTATCGCTGAAAACTGCCTTACAACTTAAGAAACGAAAAATTCCAGGAACAAACTACTCCATATACTGCGATACATCTCAAGGAAGAGAACGATCATTCGTACCTGTAAGTCTAAGAAAGAAAATTTTTGACAGCCTGCATAATTTAAGTCACCCAGGACCTAGACCTTCAATAAAACTAGTGACACAGCGCTTCGTTTGGCCAAACATCCGCCGGGACTGTAGGTCCAGAGAATGTTTGAAATGTCAGCGGAGTAAGGTAAGCAGGCACACCGTAACACCCATTAAGGAATTCAATGTGCCAACATCAAGGTTCATGCAGGTACATATTGACATTATAGGTCCATTACCTCTATGCAAAAATTATCGTTATCTGTTAACTGCCATAGACCAATACATTCGATGGGTTGAAGCATATCCAATTCCGGACATTACATCAGACACGGTAACACATGCATTTCTTTTATGTTGGGTCTCACGTTTCGGAGTTCCAGCACAAGTCACGAGTGATAGAGGAAGACAGTTTGACGCCTCACTATTCCGAAATGTCGCACAAGCATGTGGAATCCACTTGATACAAACATCAGCTTATCACCCGCAATCAAACAAGTGCTGCCCTGCAATTAGTACGACCCTGCCGTACCTCGTGATTGCCCTGCATGATGCGCACGCATCAAGATGGCTGCCTCCGTCCTGTATAAAAGAAACGGCCATCGAAGCAAAAGGCCTCTTCAACCATCTCGGCCAATAAGGACCAATCAATACACAAATTGTATTAAATAATAATAAATAGTATTAAACAGCAACCACTTCATATTTCTTGGCGGCAAGAATTGCTCGTTGACTTAACCAAGCATAATTCTGATAATTCTCACTAATGTCATTACTCGAACTTTTAATTACGGTGCGTAAAGTTCCAGCAATTTGCATTAGGGCACGATGCCATGCACCATTAATTTAGGCTCTTAGCTATAAATCTTGCGGAGCCCGAGACCTTTCCAAAGAATGCAAAATGTCGAAATCGGTTCGTGCGTTCTGAAGTTATTTCGTCAGGAAGGAAAACCCGACTATATATATATATATATATATATATATATATATATATAGAAGATATATACATTTTTCCAATTCCATATATACAGATTTCCAATTTTTGGGTGATTACTATAACATGCTCTATGGGATGCTAATAAGCTTTTATTAACTTCCTAAAGGAGAGGTTTGTCTTTCCAAAAAATGTTATGTCTTCTCGACGCTTGAATTCATTCTAATTGTTTAGCACCAAATTTAAAACTAAGCATGTGTGCGTATGTATTGCTGTGTGTATGTATGTGAACCGATTTTTGACTTTTAGTCGACGTTTCAAATAAAAAACAGCTAAATATATTTTAAAAATTTATAAGCTATTTGATGTAACTCGATAGATAATCAGTTTTGCGCAACGATCGTCCAAGCTTCTTTGTCATTATCCGAAAAGTGCGAAATTTGATGCATTTTTGGCAAACAACGGTCAAGTCGTTCATGATTTATTGTAAAATTCTCTTTTTTGCAATTTTAATGAAACCTTGTATGAAATAGAATGGTCTTAATGAACATACATAATATTAGAGCCCCACAATGAGTGATTCAATTATAAAAATCAAATAAAGTTTAGTTTAATCAGTCGTGCTTTTCGAAATACTCCGTGTATGCATTAAGCACATGTTCCCTTTCCAAAAATGTGTAAAATTTAAACAATTTGTCAAAAATAACTAACATATTATTTAATTAATTAACAATTACTAATTTGCCCAAATTGGATATCCCGCAACAAATTCTCACATTGTAATGCTGTTCAACAACTATAATTATAGCTCACTCATAAAACAATGTACTGATATCTTATTGATTATTAAGTTTATTTTTTACACATGTCGGGAAGTTCATGCAAATTGCCTTAAGGGGGGCGATACATGTAATCGCCTTAATTTTTACCATTTTTTGAGGACTTTTTAAACTGGGAAGGAATGATTGAATCTTTTTGAACTTTTTTAGGGTTATTTATTATATATTAAAATACACAAAAAATTTTTTTTTTTAATTTATTTTTTTTAAATGGCTGCCGTAAAAATAAATCTGCTAAGACCCTCTCGGAAAACGCCATCAATTTGCGGGCGTTCTCACTTTTCGTACGGTGATCTGAATTTAAAAAAATTAGTTTGTACGTGTTCATAAAACATATATCTTCTAGTTAAACCAAAAAAAATTAAAAAAGTCACAAAATCGTAAATTGGCACACCTTAGAAAAAAAAAGTTCGATTTTTCACCTTTTTTTCAATGGTTTTTTTGGTAAAAGGGTTAATTTTTGAAACATTTTTTGGAATGTTTGAGGTTTAACTAGAAGCTATTACTGTAAAGTAGATGTGTGCAAAATTTCATTGGAATCGGTTGAGAACTTTTTGAGTTATCACGCCCGCAAATTTCAAAAACGTCGTTTTGAGAAAAACGCGTTTAAAGTTTTGACACAGAAACAGATAAGAGTACAATAGCACTCAAGCGTCGAGTTGAGGCGTGGCACTTAAATGAGTTTTTATTGTATAAATAATGATAATTTTGTTTTGAATATTTACAGGCATATTTTTGAGATGTTATTGTAACGATTTATGAAAAAAAAAAAATCGATTTTTTTTTTCTTGTTACATGTATCGCCCCCCTTAAGGCAAAATGCTACTTACACCTAATTTATATTTATTTTTCTTCCAAATATCATCTCCATACATTGCATAATCATTGCTTTCAAACATTTTGATGCATTCGTTCTAACAATAGAAAATCAACAAGCCCAACAAAATGTCATATTATCAGTCAAACTATGCTTGCTAATTGAAACTGTAAACATATATTTAGAATATGTTTATCAAAACAATAAGGGATTATTAAAGGTATGATATTTAAAATAACCACCATCTTTTACTAACCTTGATTGGGTTATCTTTCTTTGATTTAACTAATCTGTTTCTTATTTGGCGATATAATGTTTTAGCACTTCGACCATTCTTTAAATATTCTTCTATAAGTTGTACAGCATTGAACAAACTATAATTTCGCCTTGGTCCTTTTTTATATAGTTGGGGATTATTTTGCATGTATTTATAAAATAAATGTAATTCGATGGCTACCACCCTGCAATTTATAGAAAGGAACTTCATTAATAAGAAATCATGTTAAAATTTTATTTTAGAAAATAAAAAGCATGTGCATAAACATATTTTCCTTTTTTTTTTGAAAATCAATTGATGGAAATCAAATATCCAAATTATTATCTATAACTTTAAAAATAAAAAAAAAACTTATTTTTTATCTATTACTTTATAATAATACTTCAACATCTTTCATGAAATAACTAATTTAGTAAAATAAACAAGCATCACTTACTGTTGCTCAGAAAGTAAGAATTCCTTTACACCACCATTGCTCAAATCTAACCGAAAGGGTATTTTTGGCAATAATTCTGGGTAAATAAATACTTTACTATCACAAATGACATCCATCATTTCGGGAGGAAACTTACTGTAGTATCTATTGTGACTTAACTTATTTGCTCTCCTGCACAAAGATAACAAATCTGAATATATTAAAATCATAATAATAATGATATTAATGGTGTGATCGCTTGAGAGGAGCTACATAAACTAACAGTATCTCCAAATTGATTCTATAATATATTCTATAATAACAAAGTTTATTAGATATTATTGTTATCAAAACTATATAACCAAGTAAACAAAGAAGATCAAACAACACATTCATTTAAATAAAATAGCAAAGATTTAAGTTAAACCAAGTATTACTAAAGCTTTGCTATATAAATAAAATTTTATTAACCCCTTCTGGTACGATTTAATCTTGAAAAGCTGTGCATAAAATAACAATTTCTTATTAAAAATTTTTATAACCTGATATTAAATACAATACTTATACAAATAATAGTTGATTTAATTCTTAGAGACTAATAAAAATAGTTGCATACTTACGATTTATTAATCTCGTTTTCTATAAATCTGAAATTTAAGAGCATTCATTGAACAAATGACAGTTACATAATACAATTTAAAGAATAATCTACTTACCTAAATATATTTTTAGTTTCTTCATTGTCCTTCGAAAGTCTTGATTGCCAAGATTCACAAAGCTCTAATGCAGGTTTTAAATTGTGCGTTGATAGTATGGTTTCCCCAGAATTAGTATCAGCAAGATTATGCTAAAATAAAACATACAATGGTATAAACAAAAATTATTTGAAAGGAATTGAAACAAAAATTATTTGAATTATTTGAAATATTTGGAATGCATACAAACATATATCTATAATAACTATAATATATAAAATTAGTGATAAAAAAAAGAAACATTTTAAAATAAATATTTTAAATAAGTAATATAAATAATAGTTCTTTCCAACATAACCTCATATTACGGATAGAAAATGGCGGAAGCAAAAAAGCACCTAATATGCATTCAACCTAAAACTAAATAGGATATAAACCCAAAAATAATCTAATAAAATAAAAAATAATAATATTTCAAACGCTGAATTCAAAATCAAGATAATAGATAAATATTTACCAAATTTTGTTTGCAAATGTCAGCAAGAGCCCACAACTCAGGATGTCCATAAAGTTGTAAAAAATGTTGTGTGCTTAATTGCACATGTTGTCTTAGCTGCTGAGCAAGTATTAAACGTTGTGTTGTTGTCATGACAGAATTTGTCAAATCAAGATTATCGATAACTTCAATTGTAATTGTTTGAATACTTTGATCCGCTTCCCCACCTTCAGTTGGAAACTACATTTGTAAAATATAAATTATTATTATATCAAGTTGTATCTAATAATTAAAATTATTAAATTGCTCACAGATGCCTCATCTGTTTGGGTTTCACAAGAAATGATTTCATTTTCATTCATGGTAAGATATTGGTTTTCATCAACATTTTGAATTGGATTTTCAATTGTGTTGCAAAAGGAGTTCATATCTGGTAATGAATTCATATCCAATAACTCTGCAACTAGATCACTCAATTCCCTTCTTGAGACAGTAACTTCTTGATCTTCTCTTAACTCCTCTTTATCAACTATAAAGAAAAACAACAAGTGGTACATGGCATCGCGCCTTAAGGCAAATTGCTAAAACTTCCGGTACCAATAATTGAAAATTTTAAAACAGATTCCATTTTTTTTCAGAACTTTGAATAACATTTTTAAAGTAGAACTTCTTTAGGCGCGACTAGGGTTTTAATCCGTACAAATGTAACGGAAGTTCGTTACTGCTGATAAGATAAGAGTCGAGTGCCAATGATTCGTTCATTCATTTCTATACGGGTCGTTTATGATTAGTCGTCCCGTATGTGAATAGAGATCTGTCGTATGCTATCGACAAGGAAATCGGCATAGATAAATAAACATTTTAAAGTTAAATCGTAGTACAAATGTTGATTTAATGAAACATTTTTTCATTTGGCAAAGGCAAATTGATGGAACTTATCGTACCTTAATTAAAAATTTTGGTACGTCACCCCAAAAAATTATCCAAAATTTGTTGTACATATGTCCAATAAACATTTTTGACCGACAAATGACATTTTTTAACTTATTTTTATTGAGAGTCCATAACCGCTGGACCTGCCTTTCCAAAAATCAGTTCTTCATCTTGTCAATACAAGTAAAATATTTTTTGATTTAGTAAAATCATACGCTCCGTTCTCTTAAAAACTGAGTTACCGTTTTTGACACTTTTTGCCCCGTATCTTCGAAACGGCTAGACTGGCTATGCCAAAATCTAATCAGCACGTGTCCTTATTAATAGGAATCGAATGTTTTTTGAATAATTGAAATCGGTTGAACTGTGTTCCCGAAATCGTCGACAAAAATTTGTATTCGCAAACACACACATACATCCATTTTTTTAAGGTATGCCAAAATGTTCAGAAATATCTGAAAGAAAAGATATATAAAAATTTCCATTTTAGTTTTTTCGAATGCTATAACTTACCCTACGGAAAATTAAAAAAAAAATCATAAAAATAACGTTTTTTTTTCTTCTTTCATTGACCAAACTCAATTACTATATATTTTTATATATTAATGTTAAATGTCAAATATAATTATTCGAAGTCTATATAAATCTACATATTACAAAATTTTACAATTTAATACCGTAGTTTATTGTTTTTTTTATTACTAGTGATAACATAATAAAAAATATGGATGTTTTTTTTAAGTAAAAACATTTGTTAAAAACCTAAGTTAATGATAATTTGAATTTTCATTGAAGTTTTTTTTTTAAATAAAAACATTTTTTAACTTCCCGAAGGAGAATTCTGAATCGATTAATTTTCGGTAAAGATCGGCCGTTTTATAAAGTGTTGAAAAAAATTTTTTGCGAAGACTTTTAAGAATTTTTTTTGACGTTAGATACCATAGTTTTATAGACCATACTAAAATATTAATTCGTCAAAGTTTGCAAAAATTAGTATGGTTTTTTTGGCGTTTGTCAAAATTAGAACTTTCATCGACGTTTGCTCAAAAACGCCTGAACCGATTTCAAACATTTAAAAGCCAATAAATGTATTTCGACGTGGATTATTATTCTTAGTTTTGTGCGATGACCGGCTGAGTCGTTTCTTTGTAAATAGCAAAAAAGTGAAAAATAATTCGTTCACGTTTTAGCTCTCAATTCTGAATAAATTTTAAAAAATCAAAAACTGTGCTAAAGATATTGGTTGGAAATGATACTGATTAGTTTCAGATAAAAATCTACCGGACCGTTTTCTTGAAAATAACTGTTGAAAAAAAATTCTTTCCCAATTTTATAAAACTTTTTGGATAGATATCATGGTATTATAAATCATACTAAAATGTTACAGCCGTATGACAAATAGTTTAATATTAAAAGTTCATCAGAATTTGTGTCAAAATTGCTTTTGTGATGTGATGAGTCAAACATTATCAATTCATAAAAATTTAAAATAATAAGCTAAGCTACAATTTTAGGGCATACAAGCACATGTATTTTTCAGAAAAAAATGTATTCGAAATTGCAATGTTTAAATTTAATTCAAAGTGATAACTTTATTTTTGAAATAAACAGTTGAAATTTTATCTAAATATCTAAATTTCAAATTCAATTGATTAAGTCAAATCTTACACATTTAGGGAAGTTCATGCAACTTGACTTAAGGCTAAATGCCACTTTCAACTAGTTAAATTTTCAAACACAAACACAAATATCACAATATATGAAAAAATGAACTTCAAAAACTAAACATAATTTACCTGGAATATCTTCCACTTGTGCATTATATTCAGGATCAGTTTCTTCATCATCTTCTTGATGTTGACCTATATGAATGTATATATGTATGAATATATATGTATGAATATATATATATATATATATATATATATATATATATATATATATATATATATTAAAGCAGGTCAATTTGTATGCATCAAAAAAAGTCACTTAGGCACATATGATTTTTAGACTTAGGGATCAAAATAAAATACTTTTCTGAAGAAAGTAAATTCTGATGTCCCGTGCATAGACCAAAAGATAAGGGTTAAAATTTGAAAAATTCCATTTTGACCCACTAACTTTGGAAGGCCGATCCACCCATGCCCATGGTTCAACCCCTGGGACCTCAATGAGAGGTTTCTCAAAATTTAACCCTTATCTTTGGGTCAATGCACGAGACATCGGAATTCATTCTAGAGGTATGGTTTCTTCAGCAAAGTATCTTAATTTAATCCCTCGAATCCGAAAATCATGTATGCATAAGTCACACACACACACGTATATATACACAAATATATATATATATATATATATATATATATGTATATATTAAAACCCTTCATGAATACTACCACATCATAACTTAACTTTGTATAGTAATACTAATTTACTAAATTAGAATAAATAATAAATGTAATAAAAATTTACTAAATCTGGTTTTAATTTCTTGTTTATAATAAAGCAAATGTTTTTGAATAAATCAGCAATTCCAGATAAAATTGCAAAAATATTGGTATATTTGGAGGAAGGTAACCTTACATCGCCTAAGTCGTACCATGGCTATATTTTGTCTGATAATTATTGGAAGGCTATGCCCTCTTGTAAAACTGAATTGACAAACTCTTATTTATACCAGTTTAATAGAAAGCATTTTATGGGTTTCTTAAAATATATAATTGATAAATACAGTATTCTAAAGTTTTAACTTGAATTGAAAATTTTAAATGGGCGTAACCAACAAAGGTTGTATATCTCCTTAAACAATTCTATAATCATTCTTAGCACCTAAAGACTTAATAATTGTGTAAGTACATTTGTTACTTTTTGAGTTTATTTTATTTCAGGTGTTTTTTTTTAATAATTATGTTCGGCTAGTTAACTAATAACTTAAAGAAATTTATCTCTAACTAAATTCTGTACAGTTTTTACAGTAGGTACTACTAAGGCTTTATAAAAATCAAAATCAAAATCATAGCAAAAGCACATTTTAGAAAAACAAAATATTTATTACAATAAATAAAAATAAAATGATAGTAATATTTAATCATAAGCCAGCTAACTAAAGATTCAATAACGCTAAAGGTTTCTTTTTAAAATTACTTGAACTAAACTAAAGATTGCAGCTTCAAAAAAAAAGAAATGTTATACATATACTAATCAAATATACATACGTAAAGGCTCCGTAAATTCGTGTAAAAAATCTTTCCACACTCCATCGACGTCATCACAATCATACATATCACTGGTAATGTCAGGTGGAATAAATGCTTTCTCTATAGTCTCTATATGTGTGCTGCTCAAACATAACTTAGATCGAGTTCTTAATGCAATAGTTTCATCATCAATAGAAGAAGTCTATGAAAAAATTGAATACCATGTTATTTACAAGAAAAAGAGCATAGCAGACTAATAATAAAATATACTTGCAATTTTTAAATTAAATAAATGCTTGAAAAATGTATACACATTTTTATAGCTATTAATGAATTATAAATATACATTTTATGCATTTAAAAAAAATATCAAGTGAGAATCTTTAAAGCCAGCATTGAGTCAATGAATTAAACTTCATTTTCTAAAGATGTAAAGATTTCTACTTTTTATTTTATTATATCATGCTAGCAAGTTCTTAACTGGTTTTATATATTCTATAAATTTGTTATAGTACCTCTCTTACGATTTTATTAATTTTTTCACTTTCAAAATAATATCTTGAAAATAGGGCTAAATGCAAAATTTAACCAAAATAATACTCATACTCATAACAGCATAAATCACAATATTGAAGAAAATGTTTGTGTATATATATATATATGAGTGAGTTCTTCCTGGTATGATATGTATAAATCTTTATATAAAATTTTATTTTCAACATTTTCTTGGTTAGTTTGAATATTTAATACACACTGAAAATGAGGCATACCATGGTCTCGAAACGTTTGTAATTATTAAATAAAGTTGTGTTAAAAATCTGAGTATTGCTTTGTTCTATATATTTATATATATATATATATATATATATATATATATATGTGTGTGTGTGTGTGTGTGTGAATGTGTGTGAACTTGTGTGTTTTGTTTTTCATGAAAATCATATGAATGGTACTCAAGTAGTTTGAAATAGTATTATTACCTGAGGAACTTTGAACAAACTGTTATTAGTGCAATTAGTATCGCAATCCGCAGCCGATACATCAACATCTTGTGACGTATTTGCAGACACATTCAAAGTTGATTCAACATCACTAGCAGTTGCAGCAGATTCTTTTTCATCATCGCTCTTGTAAATAATGATTTACAATATAATATAGAAAATATGTATATTACATGTCTTTCAAAATTAAATTTAAACTTACACTACTTAATTTATAGTAACTAATTCTGTAAAAAATAGTATTTCTCACTCCACTCTAATTGCAAATGTATGTACTCAAAATTGAAAAATATGTAAAAAATAATTAAATGTATTGATTAAATACAACGTTTGACCCTTATTTGAGTACATACTAATATTTAATTTTACAAATTCTGGAAACTTGATCTTAATCTGAAAATACTTCAACAAACATACATACTCATGTGTCTTTCTGTCCCACCCCACAAACTTTTGTTTCAATAATAAAAAAAACATATCAAAAGAATACATATAGAAGCACTAAAAACCATTTACTATTTAACAGTATAATAGAAATTATAGCTAAATATTAGACTGATTGATATCTAAGCTATTGAAATAAAAATGGAATCCTGAGGTTTTTCAATTTTCAACTTACTTAGGTTATCATTGAAAAATCATACATAAAACTATAATTACTTTACATTGAAAAATAATGTTCAATTTTAAAGGTTTAATTGCAACAAGTACAATTTGAAAATCAACAATATTAATATTGCTAAATAATTTACCCCTCAGAATTCTTGTAATAAAATATTTTATGCTATTTATAACTTTTGGGTGCTAAGAACTCTAAAAAATCATTTAATACATTGATATGCATTTATGATTTTATTATATCAATTGACTTTATTAATATCTTTATATAGATGGGTTTTAAAATTTTTGATATGTTTGTAATTAAAACTAGTTTGAAATCGCAAACTACTTACTACATTATCGTCATACGGTTTATATTCCTCGTCAGAAGAATCATCTGGCAGTTCCTCGTTTATGAGAGCGGCTACTTCAGGCGTAGTAGTAGGTTGAACGGGACTGACAACTGGTATTGGCCATGCAACAGGCAAATCCTTTTGTTGAAGCTCTCTGGAAAACAATGTTGATATTATTTGATATTTTAAATATTCACTGAAACATAATTATATAAAACATACAAAAACAATTCTTCATCAAAGAAGTACATATTTATAAGCAAATTAACATTATCAAAAAGTGCAAATTATTATATTGCCATCTTTTGTTTTAGAAATTGATTTAGAAATTTTTGTATCTAGTAGTTCACCAAACCAATAACTATAAAAACATTTGAAAAAGTAGGTAACTATGAAAAACATAAATGTCAGAAAAGTGACATAATTGAAAATTAATGACAGGAAAATAATTTTTATAACATATATGTTTTAACCTATTAGCTTACCATCTCAAAACCTTGTTTTATTACAAATGCATTTGCTAAATTTTATTGACAATGTTTGATACTTAATAGTTTGTTTTCTTACAAAATAGAATCAAATGTTTAAATGTTTCAAATTTATTGAAACATATTCTGTCATTTCAGTTTTCTAAATACTTTTGAAAAATAAAAACTAAATGATACATATTACAATCATATAGTATATCCTATTATTTCTAATATTGTTATTTTGTTATATTTTGTTTTTCTAGTACTATTTTATTATTCAGAAATTTTATTTATATTATGTATTAATTTTATTTTTATTATTATTTGCTTTTATTTTATATTAAATCATCATATATTATTAAATCATCATATATACATACAGATATTATTTTAATGTAAATTCTATCCTTTGCACTCTTATTTATTTAAATTTATGTTAATATTTATCATTATTGCTAGATGTTAATTATTTAACAGTTGTAATAAATATTGTAATTAAAATATATATATATATATATATATATATATATATATATATATATATAGTATATTCAATCGAATGTTTATATGGCATATTTTAAAACTTAAATGTGCTGAAAACTAGTTCCTGATAAAATAGACAAGAACTCCAACAAACATGTATATAAACAATAAAATAACTTGAAATTATACTAGGCCCAATAAACTAAATAAACAGCCACTAACATATTTAAATCAAAAATAAATACTAATTTGAGCAGTACTATACATACTGCTTGAATTGAATTAATATATTTAACCTTAAATTAAATAGAAAAAAACATTTATTACAACTTGTTAAACAATCATTATCTGGCCTATTTTATTGTAACAAAAGTTAATATTATTAGATAAATGTGTGTAAACTTACTTCACTTTAGAACGAGTAAGTGGTGTAATATTAAGTAAGTCATTCGCATTCTTTCCTTCAGATTCTTCATTATCTTTCTCCGACTCTTTTAACTTCACAATAGCCAAAACATGTTCATTAGACACAACACGCTAAAATCAAAATGTATATTAAACTTTCATTTATCAAAATAAATTCATTTAGTGCAAAATGTTGACATTTTAAACTCAAAAACTATGAGATTATATATATATTACCGTAAATAAATATTAGACAGTAAATAAATAAAGAAATGTTTTTTTAAAAAAAATGTTTTTATTACTTTTTGGATTCTTTAATATATATATATATATATATATATATATATATATATATATATCTCGTATATAAATAAAAGGAAATAATCATAAAATGAAAGAAACAAACAACGTTTATCATTAGGAATGGCATCATTTATACAAACTTTTAATATTTTGCGAACATTAGCTGCTGTCAAATTATTTTTAGCTGCTGCTTGTTCTAACTGATTATTGATTTTAAGAACTTGTAGACAATTCTCTAATTTGTTCTCACTTTTAACACTGTCGCTGGCCCTGTTAAACAATTATGATAGCTTTAAATATAGTACAAAAAAACTGACATTAGCAATAAACTGTTACCTTTTATTAGCTTTAGCATGCTTTATGATTTTGACACTCCGAGATGTTTTTTGTGGTTTGTCGTTTGAATTTTTGTCGCCACTCGATAAAGAATCTTTATCCAAATCCTTAGCCATTTTGATATTTTGATATTTTAACTTTTTCTCTTCATTATGAACTATGTGATATAAAATGAAATAAACATTTCTAGATATTTCGAATTAAATATCTATACACAACTATAAAACAATGAAATAAAATATGATATATAGTACAATAAATGTTTTATAACTGACAGTTCTTCGTCTGGACTCTACTGTCATCCAGAGATAATAAATAAAGCCGCACACATAGAGTGCACATCACAAAGATACGCGCCATTTGATTTGTTTACACATTTTTAGGCGCCAAACTCGTTGAACAGAAATCGTTATGGCTCGCTCGCTCGCTCCATTATTAAGGTGCATCCACACCTAACGAACGAACACGAACGAACATAAATGAACGTACCAGAACGAACGGCAACAGCATAGTGTGGCGCCACAGCGATCACGAACGAACATAAACAAACATGGCGAGCAATGTTCCGCAACTTGTCGGTACATCAAAGGGAATTGTTCGTTCATGTTTGAACTCGTATGTGCAGTGTGGACGCTACCACCGAATGTCAACGAACATTTTTCTTTTTTGGTCTTAAAATGTGCATTAATGCATTAATTTATGTTGTATTTATTATAAGATATTGCTGTTATTGACAAATTTTGTATATTTGATGACTTTAAATAATTTTTCTCTTTCCCGCCACTTTAAATAATAAATCTGACGTTTCACGGTACATCCTCGAACAAAAAGATTCAAACCCTCACTGCTTTGAGGCGTTTGTTTGGAATTTTTCGCGTTCGTTCATGTTCCTGTTCGTTCTATTTTGTATTTTCTTGTTCGACATGTTCGTTCGTGTTCGTTCGTTAGGTGTGGACGCACCTTTCTTGTTCGACATGTTCGTTCATGTTCGTTCGTTAGGTGTGTATGTACCTTTACACGAATCCGTACGGCGAGTCTGTTCGCAAAGTGCAAGACAAAATTATTCTCTTATACAAATAATTTGTAAGTTTGAAGTTTAATTTGAAGTACAAATAATTTGCAAAAAAGATGGATTGCAATACTTATTTTAAAGAACAAAATACAAAAGATAATGAAGCGTTATTATCACAAGATGGGAAAATTTTAGACCCGAAATCTTATTTTAAATGTATACTATTGCTGTTTGGACAATATTAATTTCACAAACCAAACAAAGATTTCAAAACCTTTGCGACGTAAGTAGTAACATTTGTCTTTTTGAAATCGAGAATCAATAAACGTTTCCGGAAAACTGTCGACTGAATTACTGTAAAGAAATATTGTAAAATATCTCATATGGTCATGACCAATTGATAGTTCTAGAAATGGGTTTGAATACAGAAATCTAAGAAATTTCTTTCATTAAGGTACAATGATGGATGCAATAGGCTTGCATCCAGTTTTCTCAACGAAATAACAGTATGCATTTTTTCTTGGCCCTTAATTACAATTTACAGTTGAAATCGCAACTGCTAAAAAAAATTTTTAAATTAAAACTAATTGAAAATTACGTAAATACTTTAGGTAAATGTCTACCAGACTTGTATGTTCCTAGAGACAGAAACTTTATAAAATTTAAAGATCACTAAATAAGTCAGTTTTTCAAAAAAAGGTAAGGTGACTGAAAATATATCGGGAATCATTTGTGAAAAAATCATAAAATTAGAAAAAATTAGATAGATAAATAATTAGAATGATAAATAATTTAATATTATGTATTTCTATATTTTGTGAAAAAAAAAATTTCTTCTTGAGGGGGCCCCTAAACAAATTTTGATACGGGGCCCCGCCAAAGCACGCTACGCCCCTGCATGTGATATCAGTAAAAACAATTAATTATTCTGCAAATTAGTATATTATTGTTCTGCTTAATGTTTAATGTACTTATTAAATGTTTCTTCGTTTGAAGTTAATGTGGAATCGATAAAGAAATTATCTAGTGTTCAATCCCGTAAGCGCAAACCTACGAAAGTTTAAATTATTGGGCATTATTGACGAAAAATTGCGAGCTGATTTAGTATGAACGGAACTTGTTAAAAAAATAGATACGAATTATAATAGAGAAAAATGGAAAATGTTTTTGTTGAAAATGTTTAACATCTGATGAACTTTAAACGTTGAAGACATGCGTGGTTAGGTTCATGGAAATATGAAAAATGGAAGCAAAATGTACTTAGTTAGAAACAAAAATTGTAAGCTTTTTTATACCTAGTGGTGTCCATTCTAAATTTAATTATTAACTAATACCATTTGAAAGGTTAATAAAAGGGCTACAACTTTTTTCATCATATTTTTTTTTTGTAACTCCTCTCGTTTTGAAACAGCGAACGGTTAAAGGGCTCGAGAGAGACTCTGATTGCGCGGCCGCGCGCTCTTTAAACAATCATAAACTTTGTCATTTTTCAAATAAGTTGATTTTTTAAAAAAAATCGGAAAAATTAAAGTTTTTATAAAATCTTTAAGTTTGTACTGAAGTAGTCAATCTGCTAGAATTCATCGTCTATAATGAAGTGAATTCTATATATGTATTCTGTATATGCTTCTTATTTGCATGATAGCTCACTCATTTTGCACGCAAAAAGCTTGTAACAGCACTCATTTTGAAGCACATGAATGAACACGGGGTATTTTAATATTGTCTAGATTTTAAAGCTTATGTTGAGCACTATAAAACCCAATTTCACTGAAATGTAAAACTTCGCCACTAGATGGCTTTAAATACAACAATTAAATTTTGACCGAAATAAAAAACGACTTTGCTCTTTCAAATCTTGCTTAATATTATTCATAGAACACTTTATAAAACACCGATTTATTAAGGTTTTTATTGACATTATTTTGTTCATTACATGATTTTCGTTAGAATGTATATTTTATGAGATATTAGCAAAAAAACGAAAATATATGAATGTTTAGTGGCCAGTAACTTAAAAATTATTAGTTTTTTTGAAAAACTATAAGAGACATTTTTTGCTTATAATTAACTTCCCGTAGGGCAAGTTGTAGTAATCGCAAAAAATCGAAAATGAAATTTTTTATATATTTTTACGTTTCAGAGGTTTCTGAACATTTTGGCATACCTTAAAAAAAATGAATGTATGTGTGTGTGTGTGTGCGTTTTTCGTCGACGTTTTCGGGAACACGGATCAACCGATTTGAATAATTCAAAAAACATTCGATTTGTATTGATAAGGAGACGTGCTGATTAGTTTTTGGCGAAGGTAGGTCTAACCGTTGCGAAGATACGGGGCAAAAAGTGCCGAAAACGGTAACTCAGTTTTTAAGAGAACGAAGCGTCCGATTTGAATAATTCAAACAACATTTCACTTGTATTGACAAGATGAAGAATTGATCAAATTTTCATGAAGGCAGGTCTAGCGGTTTCGGAGATCTAATAAAAAAAGTAAAAAAAAATGCCATTCGGCGGTTAAAAATGATCATTAGACATATGCACATCAAATTATCAGATATTTTATAGAGATTTTAACAATAAGTATACATGTTTTTTACTTCCTTATGGGTTCCGTACCAATGTTTATGCGTCAGACGGCGGCGCGGCACTTGCGCGCTTTGACATTTCGTCTCTATGCAGTTCAAGCAGCTTTGAAAAAAAGTTCAGAATTTCCAAAATATTTCAAAATTAAGAAAACATTTTTCTTTTCAAAAAAATTTTGTTTTCAAAAAAAAAAAATTTTTGTTAAATTTATAGTTCCTCAAAAATCTAATTTTTTCGAAGTAATTTTTTTTCAAAAATGTTAATCGTTTTTAAAAAAATAATAATTTTTGGTACGGGAAGTTCCAGCAATTTGCCTTATTTGCCTTAATTGCCTTAAGACAGAATTCCACTTACAGCTAGTTAGTTCTTCTATCGATTTCCTACGTTATTTTGAAAAAATGTAATTACACAATTGAGAAGGGGTGTCATCCCCCCGGGGGGTGGTGGCGGAACCCGAATTGTTTTCACTTTTGAACTTGAGGGTAAGATGAACCTAATTCCAGTAAAAAAAACTCCCAAAACGCTCCGTTTACTGCATTATATATACATTATATATATTATATCATGTGTAAAAATTAGGTAATTTTTTATTTTAATTTTCATGCATTTATTGACCCCTTAACGATTTTTGACTATTTACCTTAACCTTTAGTATTTGTCATGAAAGTGGATTTTCCTAGATGATTGGAATTGACTACAATAACATATTTAAAGCTAAATAAAATAATAGGTAATAGTATTTTATATTTATTTAATTAATAAATTTTAACTTGTGATACATAATTTATTGAAGATGTGTATATTTACTAAACAATCGTAATGGTATACATTCCATTAAATTAATGAATGCTTAGTCAGTACTTTCAGTACTATAAACTGTCATTATTTGAAGTGACTTTAAGAACATTTTACATTTGTTTTCTAAATATATTGAAATTTACATGTCTCAAAATTTTGAAAAATGTGATAGACATTAAATTATTAAAATGTGTTACAAATTGACTAGTAGTCGAAAACTATTTACTAGAGAACAAATGAAATAAATATTGTAATGTTTTATCAGTCGTTATACCAACATCTTAGGTAATAAAATCACTGTACATATATTAACTTATAATTTAAACTTGATTAAATTGACTAACAAAAAATTACATTACCTACAATAAACAAATTATGTTTCATTAGTTATAGTCACTAATTTTGAAACAATTTTTACTATTAACTTCTGATTACCAGAAATTAAGTACATAGTTTGCAATTTAAATAAGTTTGTAAAAACTTGACTAGACGTATTGATAGCATCTGCTGTTAAGTAATAACTTATAGTATACATGAATAATATAAATAAAGACATCCAAAACGTTCACAGACATTTATATTGTATTGTATTATTTACACAGTAACGCAAGATATGTTTTATATAAAGTGTATAATTTTTTCTCTAATGTTTTATATGTGATGTAGTTTTTCATAATTAGCATTATTTATAAATATTTTCATAATTTCATAAAGTTTTTTTTGTAATTAAGAATCTAAATACAATTCTGTGAACATTTTGATAAAATTGATAAACAGTATAAAAACATTAATATGCCTAGTTAAAAGATTTAAAAAATAAAATTTTAAATGTTTTGAATTTATAGGCGGCATAATTGCGGTATGTGTTACCGCCGGAGTTGTACAAATTAAAACAAAACAAAATAATATTAGAATTTATTATTGAGTA